AGGAGGGGTGGGAAGGAAAGTAAATATCAAATCAGAAAAGTGTTTCTCACGTTAGTCCTCCAAGGCCAATAGAAGTGAAGAAATTGATGGCAAAGCGAGTGTTTCTTGGGTTATCCCGAGGCAACAATCCCTCAAAGAAAGGCTGCAATGTTCTGATGAAAACAAATATCTAAATTAAACACCGTGCCAGCTTAGCACTAATTCTCATTGCCATTAATAAACTGAAAAAGAAACTGCATGAATCTCCATAGGACAGCAAAAGTTTTCTCTTCATGCATTTTTCAATACTTTCATTGTTTATATTTGTGATGTATCTGATCAAAATGCTATTTAGAAACTTGCTCTTTTAGGAAAACGTAAGCCTCTTCACACACAGAAGAATTACATGCATACTGTCAGATTATGACAGCTGAAAGCCTGATTTTGTGAAGCCCTGAAGAGACTTGTGAAATTGCAGTAGCCTGTGATAGCAAAGGACAATACTTGTTGACCAAAAAGTTCAAAGATCTAGGTGCCTATGCTGAAATCCCATCAAACAGGGCCCTAAGTATAGTTTCAAGTTTAAGTTTACATGAGCTAAAGCATCTACTAAATTCTTCATCATACACAGAAGAAATCCCAACTTACAGGAAATAGCTCAAGCAACTAAAAGGAACATTGCCAGAATGCAATGCATTAATCACGTACAGGCTTAAAAGAATGTGTTATTTACACTATGCTTAAGGATAAGCAACTAATTCTAGAAAAACTGGAATCAAGTCGTGTGCTTTTTTCTAAGTTTTGTCAGAAAAAGAAGCCACAGTAACATTTAGAGAGCTATATAGCTGACAATACATAAAAACAGACTTCATAAAAATAGACTTGCACTTGGAAAATTCTTATACCAGCTGAACTATCCTTGGGAAAAAAAGATACATCTTGCAAATAGCCATGCACAACCCAAACTGATGGTAACAGACTCAGCTTAATGGGACTCTTTGCAATGACTAAATCTACGCATGAACTTACTCTTGAAGTACTGCAGCTAAAGAACTGCAGTCTTAGTTGAACTTGAAAACAGAGTTCTTATCCGTACTTTTTCAGATAAAGAAACAAATTTACAGTTTTGAAAATAAAATTTCAACGTACTCATCTTTTAGTCTTGCATTTAGATTAGGAAGTCCCATATATTCACTGAGTTCCTGAAAGAATATTTTGACAAAAATTCTACTGGAGGATGTGGTAGTTTCTTCACTCAGTATTATACATTCAAGAACCTGAAAATATTTAGAAAAACATTTAGAAAACACCCTTAAATTTAAACATACATTCTTTTATTTATCTTAAAAACCTTTGTCCTCCTGAAATAACTAATAAGGACTGATTCCATTACATTGATGATTAGAAGTTCAAAATTCTAAAAAGTACATTTTAATCAACCAATTCCAGCTGAGCTCCACAAAATAACAGCTTAAATTAACTACTTAAGAATGGGGGAGGGAGATGACGATGCACAGGAGGCAGAAAGAGGAGATGGAGCAACACAGATTTGTTCAACAGTGCCTGAGAAGTCATTTAAAATAATCCAGTTTGATACAAATACAAGTAGTTCCAAATTGTAGAATACATACTAACACTAATGTATTATATATTATTTCTGAATGCTGGAGATTAATTATTGAAAAAGAAATCTAGGACAGCAGCCTTTTTTACTTACACTCCAGGGAATTGAATCGGTGTACAGTAGATGAGCAAACATCTTGGCAACATTCCTCAGTTTGTTCGTTTCCAAACGATGAATGGTATCATATTGTTCTTTGAAAATAGCTTCAAAGGATTCCATATATTCTTTTTTTAACATGCAGAAACGCTGAGACAACATTGTACAATTTAAACAACCAGATTAAACAAAATAGTAAACATGCAAATAACCTACATGTAAGTGACCTAATGGTGCAAATATTTACTGCCAAGATTTTCCTTTTAAATAATACTTGGAGGAGAAGAAAATACCTTCAAATGGATACATTTTATTGCTTTCAGCAGTTTGTCAGAACAAGACACTCATCTGCATTGCAAATTAGTAATTATCAATTTTGAACTACAGCAAATTATCCAGCAATTTTTTTTACCTCAGTACAACCAGTATTTTCACCTGATGTAACCCCATCAAATGTAACTTTTTTCCATGACATCATTGAAAGATTATTTAAAATTAGAGAGGCAGCAGGGAACACAGAAGCAAGACATTTTGGACATAAGCACTCCAAAGAACATGGAAATTAACAGTTATATTCTACTGAACATGTAGATTCACATGGCTAGTGCTTTGTAACTGACAATCAGCAGAAGTATTTCCTCAAATACTGGCTAAAACATACAAATGGAAAAAACCCACTCACTTTCAGCATAACTTGCTCCCTTGAGAAGACAGGTATTTTATCTTAACTAGTCAGATCTGTCAGTATCATAGATAGGGAAAACTTAACTAAGAAATAACTGCAACTAAATTAGCAATTAGTTACACAAAACCAAAGAGCTAGCTGTTTACTGAAAAACAAACAAAAAACCCACCCATAACCCTGGGACAGAAAATAGTCAGTCTTGTGCTCTGAATAAAACCTACTAAGCAGCTTTGAATGAAGTGGTAGAAGACAGGAGTCTCCAAAATTAATCTTCAGCACTGTGAAAAGGATATTTTCTGGTAACTCATAATACTTTTACCTCATTTTAGTACCATTCCTTTACCACTGATCTATTATTCTACCATAACGAGAAAAAAGGGAGGCAAAATAGGCAACAATATAAAGAGAAAATTAGTTCTCTCATTCTGCATTCACTATGCTTATGACAATCAAAATGTTAATTCAATCAACTAATACAACCAATCAACTAATATAACCATTTTCAGAATGATAAAAAGACTATCAGTTTTATTTATCCATTAAAATTTGAAACACAAAAAAATAGAGTAAACCAATGAAATTATCTACCATAAAGTGTAAAATCTAAAACCAGAACTCACCCCTGCCAGTAACCCAAAGAATTTCTCGTATGTTCTTTGCTGAGCACAGCAGTCAAGTATCATATTGCAGAGTTCTTTCTAGTTTAAGAAAATAAAAAACCTCTAGGTAAATTCACTGTAACAGCAAAAACGCATCATTACTAAGCACCATAATATTGAAGAAAGCTTTGCATGGATGCAAACTTTGAAACGAGAGCATTTACATAAAGCTTCACTGGCAACCTCAGTAGTTTACTGAACTTCTCATGTTTTAGACATTAACTGGGGCATGAATATGAACTTTTGCCATTTAAATTTCCTCTTCTGAAGCTAAAATTTATGAGTTAACACACTGTAACTCTCACCAAAACCCGTCAAAACTAATTTACAAACTGACTACCACAGTGCAAAAAAGGAGGTATAAGATCAAAAGGGAAGTTTTTGAGGGCTTTTTTTGTGGTTCTGGTTTTGTTTGTTTGTTGTTTGGTTTGTTTTGGGTTTTGTTTTTTTTCAATAGCACCAATCCCTGCATTTATAGAAAATGAAGATTCTTTGCAACTTCCAAATGTCAAAATGGCATGTAGACAACCCATTTGGAAACTCAATTACAGTGTGGATGCTTAGCAGCTTATTTCCAAAATCAGAAATATCTGTAGGTTTTGGTATATACTAATATTTTTTAATTATTCAGCCATAACTTGCACCACAAGCTCTGCTTACCATAAACAAGCAGAAGGCAGTGTATCACTGCAATTGCTTCATCAGAGAGGCAACGTTCTGAGGGTGATGTTCAGAAAGACTAAACTGAGCCTTGGGAGGCTGATCTGCCTAGACTTCCTCTATAACCAAGAGACTGAGAGGAACTTTTCTAAAGAAGCTGGTTCAGGCTCATGTTATGAATTACCCTCCAGAAGAGCATCTCTCCTTCTTGGCTAGGAAGGAGCAGAGGAAGCCTAGCTAGAATAGCCTCCCAAAACTTTTGTGCATCCCCCATCACTGACAGCCTGCCTTCCATTTTTCCCTGTCTCCGTGGTGGACATGGATGTAAGCACCAGCTACAGCAATCTCACAGAAGATGCTCTCCTTCCGTTGATACCAACTACCTGTAACAGTTAAGACTCAGTCCTTTTAGAATACAGGTTGACTGCTCCCTCTCTCCTTGTTCCCCAACACCGTTACCCCAAGATCATTACTGAATCACCCTCTGGCAGTACCACCTATTCTTTCACACACACCAAACCAAGAACCAGAAGGAAACACACATGGGTGGATTCTGCTTTATACCTTGCCTCTAGGACCAGAGCCCTTCACCAGCCGAGAGCATTGATCTAGGCAAGTAAGCATACACCAGTTTAAAACCAAACTTATTTCTCTGACCTACTATGTAAATTACAGATTGTAATACAGCTATGAACTACTTTAGAGCACATTTTGAAACATTAGTTAAGACAAGTGAAGCAAACACTTTTATATAAATTAAGAGCCCAGAAATACACAGCACTTAAACAGGACTGCAGTTTTTCCCATTAACTTATTATTATTTTCTCGTAAGACCAACTTCATAGCATAAACCAGTTTATGACATTCCCAAATAAGTTTTTGTCTGTTAGTCATGTATCTTCCACGATTAGTTTAATTTTTCTTTAAACTAATAATAACAGTCCAATAAAAAAATTGGAAAATTTCAAGCATTTTGTCCTCTTTATGTTACACCAGTTTACTGTAATATATACCAGATTTCATATTCTCCCACTTGCGCCATTCTTCCAAGCACATATTCCCAAAAGAAACATTTTGCCCATCACAAAAACTCATGACAAATAAAAAGCCAACCATGCTGAACAAGAAGAAAATACCCCCTCCAAATACCAAGGCAGTAACATATGAAACAACCTTACAGATGTGTTTAAAGGCATTCCTTTCAACACTGTCACACTATGTTAGTGTGATGTATTAAAACGCATATTAACTTTTTATATTATCCTGTTTTACAGTAATGCTGCAGTTAATCAGTTTTTAAACAATAAAAAGGGTAAAGTGCTGATGCCACTGCTAATAAAGTCAGCAAGACTTGAAAAACAAATTACTTTTCTTCCTCATCTTAAATGCAATTACAACATTTGTATCCCCTGTGGTTTACAGTAATTAAATATTTTAACATTTTAATTAAATACTACAATAATTTCTAGGAGGGTATCTTGAATAATCACATGCATGAAAATAGATTTGCCCACAAAGACATTCTTGCTAGTGTTATCAAAACAACTCGAGGTTAGGTCTAGAGTAACTGTCTTCCAGATTAAAAATTAACAAACTTTAAAATGAGTGAATTATTTTTTGAGAGATGAGACAGGTTCACATAGCAATTCTAGCTTCATTTATAGCTTTAAAGGTTAGTTAACTCATTTCTATACTCCCAATGATAACACTTCTGGTGATGTTTATGGCAGGAAAAGCCTGTGTTTTTTAGCCCATCACTTGCTTTGAAGAATGCAATGAACTTGTTTCCCAGTTTTACAGGCAATTTATGTATTGTGTTGTTCAACAGTTTTCATACAATGCTCAATAAGTGACTATTCAGCTTCGTTAAGAAAATATGTATAGCTATCCAATCATGCAGTAAAACACTTTGTAAATATCTGACACATCCCATACAGATGGTGAATGATCTTTAGAAAAGATCTTTAATTCATTATTGTATCATGGAAAAAAATGGCACTTCCCAAAACTGCTAAGACAGAAGATAAGGAGAAAGCTCCCTCTAAATACACTGCTTTTCTTACAGTTCTCCCTAAATACTTCCTACTAGCTCTTACCCAAACAGCATAATGGTTTAGATGGACCGTTGCTCAACCTACCATGGCAAGTATAATGATACATTTAAAGATGCTGAAGGGTAAACTAGGAAGAGTCAGAAAAATTGGACTTGCTTTTTCCCCCAGTTTTACCATTTTAAAAAACAAGCACACCCTGCCCACTCTATATTCTCTCAGCTTCACACAACAGTTATGTTCACTGCGGATAGAAGAGCTAAAGCAACTCAGCTTTCTCACTCCCTTCTGATCATGGGTTCCTTTTTACAGTTACTACCTTCTTTCCCCATTTCTTCTTCCCTTACTCTTTGCTATTTCTTTTCTTTGACATTTGCATTCAGCTAAGACTGTAATTTCAGAGCTGCTCCACAGGCTGCCTCCAAGAGGAGGTCTCACTCTCCCCTCCCTAGCTGGAAGCAATGTAATTTCCACCTCCCCTCCCTTGCCAGCCACACAGCTCTGTTTCATCCATTGCATACAAAAGCTGAAGCAATCAGGAGACATCCCCACCCTGTAAGCTAATGTACCTTCTTAAAAATACAAAACTATCAATCCCAGCACTTGGTTTCTACAATCATACAAGAACTAAAGGAACTTATTTGCTGAAAGCAAACCTAGTAAAGGACATAGGTTGGTTTAAATCAATGTGAAACTGGAATTATGTGAAATTAATGCCTTGCATTTTAGACATTTGCACTGCTTTTACAGATGCTATGCTTCTCCTTTCAAGCTGAAGTGTATTTTACTTCCACTTACTACCTTAAAGCTCTCTCTACTGCCACATATTTTAATGTGTGTAACCGTCCCATGTGCCTATTCCTTCTAGCATCTCTCCTCTTTCTCTTCTTCATTCGTCAAATTACCACTTAGAGCCAAGGCGAGCAAAGCCATGGAAGGTGTTTCAGTAGCAGGTGGCCTCTTGGCAAACTACATGCAGTGCTTTTGACAGCTACTATACTGTCTCCAGGTCTGTCCTGTGTTTGGTCAGCTAACGGTCTTTCAACTTTTACTGTCCCTTTATTTACCATTTTTTTACCTCAGCTTGCTTTATGTTTAGAGCAATGTATGCTTAAAGCTGAATAACGTTATCAAAAACCTTGCACAAATCAGACGTATAACATGTGACACAAGAATCATTCTCTGGATAAAGGATAGATATATTTTTCATCATGCTGCTACAAGTCTGCAACACACACAAAAAAGTCTGGTGAAATACTACATTAAAGCCCTGCAGTATCTGCTTCCCTTCCACCTGAAGGCTACACATGCAAAACTTAAAATTAAGTGATGCCACCGAGGTAATCTGAGCAACTCCATCTCCTTAGGTTAAATGCATGCATACATACATGTTTGGACAATCAAAGTCTAGTCAGAAGTCTAGCTAACACCTGTTAACAGTAACACACAAATACAGCATAATTCTGTGTGTCTTCTATACCTCCATATTGTAGGCATCAGCGTATACCACAACATACACAATAAGGGCAATGAGCTTCCCAATTATATAATGAAGTTGGCTATTTTTACCTCATTAGTATCTTTAATGTCATAAAGATATGCAATCACAGCAAACTATTCTATGCTTATTGGAAATATTTTAAACAAATTCATAAAGAACATGCAGCCTATTTTCCAAAAAATACAATTCAGCTTTAAGCAGTCAAGATAATTGAAAATTAGCCTTAGATTTTTTTTAAAAGTTTATTTTCTCATAGAAAAGATCAGTAAGAGCTGAAAAGTTTAAACCCATTAAAAGTTATGAGCATATGCTTAAAAGAATCTTACCTAATAGACATCATGTATTCAAAGAAGTACTTTTTAAAACTTAAGTTGTGTTTCTGAGACTTCATCCCATATAGGTATGGTTTAAAAGACCTCTTTTAATCCATTACTAATTATTTCAAGTGATATTTTGAATAATCCATCTATATCTTTACATGATTTCTCCTGTCACAGCTCAGCCCCTTTGTGTGATCCATAGGCCTGTTAAGAGTAACCCCTATTCCATCCTTCAGGTCATTAAAGAAATCTCAGGTCAGCCAAAGCAACTAGCTCATTCACACCTACCAAACTATTTAGAAACCGTTTTCAATTTTAAATACGTAATCTACATTAACTGGAGAGAATGAAAGAGGGTAAACTGGTTCCGCTAATGGATCTTTCCAAATTTTAACTCAGTATCCAGATTCTGTACCTATATGTGCATTTACTCATGTTCTGTATCTTTGGGGATTACATTGATGTCAACGGCACTGTATGTTACACAAAGTAAAGCCAGTGAAGATG